GCGCTATGTCCTACTCCTAAAGTTAAATAACATGTCATAACATTTGAACTTTATATAACATAACATAACATTAAACTGACTGAACACATTAATTTTCTGCTATCACGTTTGTCTTTAGAACAGACAGAACAAAAAATCCATTCTTTAATATATGATTATAACAAATATATTTTTTCTACACGACACATAATTAAACGAAGCGATATTTAGAATGAAAACGTACACGTTTTGCAGATACCGCAAAGGCTGATGCGAACGCGAAAAGTACATTTATGTGCATCAAGACTCAATCACCATCCAGGCCCTTTGACACAATTTACGGATGATGAACTTATGATGAAAGAAACCGGTAAGTGTCTTAACCTCTCATCCTGTCAGAAGTAAACGAGATTGCAGTCGATGTATAAAAAACCTGTTTACTATCTTGCTATATATCTTCATATTTCAATTCATATATCGTTTTTTTTTTAAATTTTATATACTTTCAGTTGCTAAACTAGCTAAGGAGGAGATCGCTCCAGTTGTACGAAAAATGGAAAAGGAGGGGAAAATAGATAACGGTGTTTTAAAGGTGCTATTCGAAAATGGCGTAAGTTTGGAATAGAATAAACAATTATTTAAAGTTTAGATTTTCATATCAATTAAAGAGTATATAAGATATCCTATGTCTTATCATCTGTGCTAGTATATGCTATGAATAAAACAATATAAGGAAAATATTTTATGTAAAAACACCAGCATAAGTGCTTTGTTAAAGTTATAGTATTAATATAACATACGATAATATAGATAACATATGATAATATAGATAACATTAACGTTTTAATGTATTTCTTGGAGTTTAATATTTACATTCGCGATCTATGAAACATAAAAATATTTTCGTTTAGATTATACATTCATGAGTTATACATTTCATGAGGATACAAGCAGGAAGCAGATTTTCCGCTTTCTGATATGGAAAGCGGATTGATATAGGCGAAAAAGATACAGTAAACATGTGTTGAACAGTAAATAGAAAACTTGACTGTAGTTGTTGGAAAGTAGAAAATCTGTTTCCTTTGTGCTCGTACTTTTATACTATATGATCGTATATATTATATATACGATTAAAAAAAATTCTAATTAAATTTAAAAATCAGATAGAGAAGAATATATTCTCAGTATGTAAGCAATATTAAATAGAGGAGAACACGGTAGACATGGGGCTATAAGGAGTTCAAATGGGCATTCAAATGAACGTATTAAAGTCATTGAAGTGGTCGTAATTTATATCTATGTATGTACCGGTTTCGCCACTTGTGCGTTTGTCTCGCGTGAATATTAACAGAAAAAAATAGATATTCTAACTTTTACGAATAAGAAAGATATAAAAAAAATTGATTATACTTTTCTGACGATGTTCCTGAAATTTTTTTTAACATGAATGATTTATCACGAATGCGTGTACATTTGCTCATATTAGCCTCAAATTGAACTTATAAATAATATTTTGTTTTCGTTGGCATAATGTGGATTATCTAATAAAATCTAAGATATTCTCTGTATACGCATCAATTGATTTTAACAAAAAATTTCTTATCTAGAAAGCTCTCTTTGATTTATTACAAATTTCGATAAACAAAATATATTTACACTAATTCTACTAAAAATTATGTTTATCCGGCCAAGAATATTGCATAAATGTAATAATGTCGACAAGATTGCAAAAACATGTTTAGACTATTAATCGCGTAAAAGTGACGTACACATAATAAATAAGAAAAGTCGGAAAAGAAGACAAGCTCCTTCATTATGAGCTGTTCGAAAATAAAGATACTTTATCGTATATTGCGTGAAAATATCTCTTATCATTCACATGTACATACATTAAAAATATTACTTATTCTACACATATAAAGGTAATCTTTATACAAGTTCTCACACTCCCAGTGAGGAAATTTATTTTAACGATATCTTTGTTTTATGTAGATCGTAAGACCGATTTTTTCTTCTGAAATGTAAAAATGCAAATATGATGTAAATATGAAAAACAAAGAATTAGGTTTTTGTTTTACGCGATTTTTGTTTTATGCGATTTTTTGTTTTACGCGTTTTTTTTTTGTTTTACGTGAACGGTACTTGAATAAAGTCAACCTTGAAAAATGTCTTGTTACGTTCTTGTTAGAAGGAAAAAATTAATTCTATAGACAATAATTAAAAAATTGCACTAGATCGCTATTATTGAGTAAAGAGAACGCCAAATATGAAGGCTAAATGCCTTTTGATGCCTAATAATATTTTTATGTAAATTTTAAATACATCTATCATTTTTAATTTTTATACAAAGTAATTTTAGTCAATTACTGTCGTATTTGAAACACAATCCCAAACTGAAGCTGAAATATTAAAATCACAAATTAAATTGATTGTCGATTTAATAATGACGCTAATAAACATCTTAAAAACTTGCGAAGAGAGAGAGAGAACTTGCGAAAAACATCACCCCGACCATGTGATATCTTGCTCAGTAAATTCTTTGTAGATTTTTAAGATGCTTATCAGCATCCTTATTAAATTGATGATCAATTTAATTTGATTTTAATATTTTCGTTTTAATTTGCGATTACGTTTCAAATTCGACGGTAATTAGTGCGCAATTTATAAAAATGAAATGTATTTAAAATTTACATAAAAATAAGACACCTAGATCCAGCCTCAACCGTATTTGGCGCTTTACTTATTTAATTCTATAGAATTTTATAAAGTATCATTCAATAAAGGTATAATATCAACCTTGCAATACATTACCGATTTGTTCAACCGTTATTCTTTGAAAAACGAAGTCTCGTGTGTGACTGACACAGTCAATCACATAACGTAGTAAAACGGACAATAGAAGAAAACATACTGCGTTGTTAAAGATAGTGTCATAATATTCTAATAAATGTGTGCATAATTTTCTCTTTAAATTGAATATATAAATTGATATAATAAAGAAATATAGTATTTTAACATGTTAAACTTGACTTCGGCTTTTAAAATTTCAGTTGATGGGTCTAGAAACTCCAACAGATTACGGAGGTGCAGGTTGCAATTTTATGAGCACAATTTTAACCGTCGAAGAAGTCGCGAAAGTCGACGGAGCTGTAGCTGCTCTCGTTGACATTCACAACACTTTGATAAACTCACTGATCATCAAAGTTGCATCTAAGGAACACAAAGAGAAATATCTGCCTAAATTAGCACAAAAATATGTACGTCTGTCACGCTTTCATTACTGATGCATAAATAGGAAAACACCCAAGTAGAACAACTAAGTCACAATAATGTCAAAATAACATCAAAATGATGGCTTGTTGTTCTACTTGGACAGAACAAAATATACACGACTGATATCTTTTTTTTTTAGGCTGGTAGCTTTTGCTTGACAGAACCTAATTCCGGATCGGATGCGTTTGCTCTTAAAACTGAAGCGAAAAAAGATGGCAGCTATTATGTAATCAATGGAACAAAGATGTGGATCTCAAATTCCGATATCGCGGGAGTGTTCTTAGTTTTCGCCAATGCAGATCCATCCGCGGTGAGCAAAATTTTATATATTATGTAAAGAAGAAACACGGAATCATTAATGTAACCACGTAACGCTTTTTTAATTAAATAGGGATACCGCGGCATTACAACTTTCTTCGTGGATCGCGATACGCCCGGTTTGACTGTAGCTAAACCTGAAGACAAGCTGGGCATCAAGGCATCTGGAACTTGTATGATCCATTTTGATAACGTCAGAGTATGTATAAAAAATTTTTTTTTAAATTCATGCACGCATGTAGTTATTGGATCTGGTTTCTTTTTGTGGCTGAACTAACGTACTTACATTTGTACTTAAAGTGAAATAGATATATTTCAGTCTTCCCTATATTTAAAGTTTAACGAAACCGAGACATTAAGTTTCAGTGTGGTCCAGTGTATAAAGAACAAGTTGCGACAAAGAACAGACTTTTTCTTACAATATATAAATACATCTATTACTATAACTCGTATTTTTTTTCTAGGTACCTGAAAGCAATATTTTGGGCGAGTTTGGACACGGATATAAGTATGCGGCTGGTTTTCTGAATGAAGGTAGAGTAGGCATTGGCGCTCAAATGATTGGAATAGCACAAGGATGTTTGGATGCAACTATACCATACACGTTGGAAAGGAAGCAATTTGGAAAGGACGTTTTCTCATTCCAAGTATGCTCATTATTCTACGAACGAAACGTCCATATATACTTAAGATCTAAAAAATAATCTGTTTTCAGTCGATGCAACATCAAATAGCTCAAACAGTAACTGATTTAGAATGCGCCAGATTGTTGGTTTACAACGCAGCTAGATTGGTAGATGCTAAAAAAGATGTTATGAAAGAAGCGGCTATGGCTAAATTAATTGCATCTGGTATATAACTTGCTAATTTTTAATTTACTTTAAACTCAAGGCTATATATAATGAAAGCCAATATATATGATATTTATAGAAACTGCGTTACGTGTCACCGCAAAGTGCATAGACTTTATGGGAGGTGTTGGATTTACAACCGATTTTCCTCAGGAGAAATATTTTAGGGATTCCAAGATCGGCACGATTTACGAAGGTACAAGCAATATGCAGTTGTCAACGATCGCAAAATGTATACGCAAGGAATATTCGTAAATTAATAATCCTTGACATTACAATGTATGTTTACAAATTACATTATAAGATAAGATTATTTTAAACACATTTTTAATACTAAAAATGTTATTGTTAGCATATGTACTATTTTCCCTATATTTTTAAAATATATTTTTATACTTTTATATTCTAACACTCGACTAATATCAAATATATAAGGGATATCCAATTCTGATATAAGTCTTATGAATCAATAACAAGTACCGAAATTCAATGAAATAAATTTGCTACAGTAATATTTAGATATAAATAATAGAGATGTACAAAGATGTGATATACATGAAATAAAATTACACGGTTTTATCTTTAATAAAATTTACTATTTAAATTATCTTTATGGAAGTACAATAAATACAGATAGGTATAGTACAAAGTACAAATACTCGTATCACTAACAATAGTTAAAAAATTTCTATTTTGATCCATAAATTTTATTTTGGATCATGAGGTAATTTAAAACCTACGAGATCCGCAGTTTCCTTTATGCTACGTTCACCTTTACCACCGTATTGTTTATGAATATCCTTACATGCTTGCTGAGACTTCAAGTAGCAAAGATACATCTCTGCTAAATTCTTTAATTCTTCTCGCGCTTTACATAAAACTTCAGAGGTTTCTTTATGGGCATGTGCTTGTTCCATGACATAATGTAACATTGCGTTCTCTTTCGTATTTTTAGTCTGTGAAACTCGACGCAGCTCTTGCACGAGAGAACGGACAATTTTAATATTACTATTCATTGCCGTTGTATTCTAAAAGCAAATTGGAATAATTAATTGTTCAACTATTGAGAAACAAGAATTACATTTTGTTACACAAATAGCTCTGTAAGAACTAAAGATAATTACGATGTATCAAATGTCATTTGTCACTGCACGGCTGTAACGAATTCAACGTCTTTCGTTAAATACTGCGGTTCCTCTTTAGGGCTCCAGAAATCTGCTGGGACTTTAAGCAGGTTTTGTCTGGTAAAGATATGAATGTTAAGGTCGTTGAAAACTTCCTCGTACACGAAGGAATTTTCCAATCGAATCTCTGTAACATAAGGTCGAATGCGTAATATGTAGCCCGCTGTATTCAATACGTCCTTATATAAGGAATTGTCGACGGTATCTGAAAGACTGTTGGCCAGCAGGATGCAACTGCTCAGTCCATCACCCCAATTCGCATAGAGGAAATTATTGGTCAGCTGCCGCGAGCAGTGCGGCATGTACACGAAGGTGGTCCTATCTCGCTGGACGACACGCTTGCCTTCCTCGTTTGTCTCTATGACCTCTAATCCCAATGTACGCAAAGTTTGCACTTCCTCGGAGTAAAACGCCGGGTCGTACACGTGTACGCGAACTGGCTCGTATCGCGCCTTCAAACATAGCAGGAGCGCCAATTGGCATCTTGACGATCTATACTGCGAGAACTGTCCTAACCCGTAGCAGATTATCTCGGAAATACTGTTGGAGCCTAAAACGGCTAGGGACTCTGACAGCCGGCTAAAAACGAACTTGGTAAACGACGTGTCCCTGATTTCGACTACCGCCTTGTCTAACGTGCTGAAAGTCGCCGTAAAAGAAACGTGATTGTGATTAGAATCAACCAGATTCAACGTAGATCGCGGTGTGCGTTAGGTTAGGGTTAGGTTAAAATTAAATGAGGACGAGACGCAACCGTGGCATAGCTTACCGAAGAAGAAGCTCGCGATCGATCTCACAGTCCTGTTCTACGATCACGCTCGGCGGAGCGTTTCCACTTAAATTCCTTCTTCCGTTACGACGTTTTCCACGACGGGTCACCAGCACGAAGTTATCCGCTTCTGACATGACTGAATATAGCGCCGATTGTTACTACTTGCGTTTTTTTTCGCTAGATGACGCCATCAACCGCGCTTGTCTATAGGGTCTCTACGCTTGTCTTGGCTCGCCTCCACTCGTCTTTAGCGTTTTTTGACAATAACAAAGTCTTTTTCTTTTTATTGGTTCTAAAAAGACATCTTTTTCATATAACGAGACGTTCACAATAGTATCCAATTTAAATATAATGGGAATAGCAGTAATCTACCTGTATGTATGCGACAGCAATCTGTCTAAATTATTCTTATTTAAAAAATTGTGTAAATTGCTAGACGCCTATTGTCGTCATTAACAATTGCGTTTCTATTCCGAGGGTCTCGTATTCTCCTACGTAATTCTCACAATTATGTTTCAAGAGTTTTTATTAAGATTTAATATTTTTTATTTGTAATACTTTAGTGAGAGACCCATTTCTATCAATTTAACTTAATTTAATTTTGGGTTTTATTTACTCATCTCTATATCTTTTTTAGGTATAATTTTTAAAAGTAGAATAAAGATAAAAATAAGTTAAATTGAGATTAAAGTTACTCTACAATGGTAGAAACGGACATATTAATTAACCTTATATACTATTATATGTATGATATTCTGCAGACATTAATGTTTGCCGCCTATTATAATATTCTGAATGCAAATAATAAACGGCGTTTCGTTACGATTTAACGTGAAGTAAAAAATACTGTAGCCGCTTTTACTAGCAAATGCATTCCGACTATTTTCGGTGCAAAAAGTGTGCCGAATATAGTACTCAACTAAAACGCTACTTAATAATTATCATGACGCTTAAGTGCAAGAACGTCAGTATTTTTTTCGTTTACGCCCATGGGCTGTCTCGTGTATCGCATGAAACATACATACAGTCTAACGGGACGGCGCAAGGTAGTGGAAATGAGTCATTCGTTACTGCCCGCCGCGACCCATCGCGTATAACCGAGCAAATAAGTCGCAATCGTGCCGCGCCGAGGACGACGACTGCTTCAAGTCGTCAACCAATATATAGTAACGTTAAACAAAAAAAGTTTCCGTACTTCCTCCTCTCTCTTTCACTCCGATACTTCCGTCACAATTCGTCATAATATGTGACTCGGAGCGCTTCCTCGATGCGCTTTAATGCATTTGAATTAAAAAGTGTCCTCGAGAATGATATACCTATATCCTCCGCGCGTGCAAAGCCTACTTTTGAAATTTGCCTCCGTAAATAAAATTGGCGATCGACATCCAGCTGAATAAAGCGTCGCCCAAAAGTAAAGTGATTAATTTATACGATATTTGTTTTTACAGGCGCCAGTTTTGTGCTTCACGGATTCACGGCTCTCGCATTAACGTTGCATCTGAAACGACGAGTTGTTTATATGAAACAAGAATAGATACGAGATTTGACGAATTTATTTTCGTGCCACGGGAACGGCGTGTCGTGTCGCGAAACAATATTAAGAGAGACTATAACGTGTTTAATATCTCGGCACGAATAAATGACGAAATTGTTAAATTCCGCCGGTATCCGCGGCATTGATATCCCGTGTACATACGTCGCATGCCCACCGCCTACGGTCACTCTGAGCCCTCGTACGCGAATATGTATAACGACGAAAATGTCGCTTAGCTAACCACGGGACACTTCGGAGCAGGTGTGCGAAAAGGTGTCGCGCCTTTGACTTTCGACTAATAACCGATGTGATGTTACCGCAATGTCCCTCACCTCGAGAACAAACAGATGGGCCTCGAGAGTAATTATTATATTACAGCTGGTCACCTGGAACGCTGTTGGCATCATTCTTCTTCACAGAGGCGTCAGCACATTGCATAGGAAAATCTTGGAAACCAGCAATGTTGTCGAGGTAATGGAGGTAATTTTCTGCTAAATAATGATTATATAAATAATCATTATACATATATATATATACACAATAATTGCATTAATAATAATTATTAATCTCCATTATTAATAATTATATTGTATAATTATTATATATATTATCAAGGTCTATTATATTCATCTTACTAATATATATGTATTTATTTAATGTATACATAAAATAATTGTTTATAATGATTATTACTAATCTCCATTATCAATTATCATATTATTATATTTTGATATGATTGTTAATAAAATAATTATATAATAATAATTAAATTATTATCAATTAATAATAATTACATGCATAGTTTGTATACACATATATAGTTTTTGTATTGTGTAATCGCAATTATCTCTACTTATATAAAATTGCCCACACGCATATATACATAACATGCTCTTTATACCTTTCCACAGGTAGATCTCCCGACCGGTTTGGAGTCCGTCGTCTCGTCTACGAGACACGAATATGATCTATCCACTCAGCAACAACCAATCGACAAGAACGTGGAGATAATTCAGATGGACTTGGATAGATCATCATCTCTGAATGATGATACGAATCTTTCTGGATTAAGCGCAATTAAAAATGAACGATTAAAGGACGCATCCGAGATTTTTTCGGAAAAGCAACCATCTACGCTCTTTCTCGCGGATCCTCTCGCAGTTCCGACGACCGAAGATAAAGATGTAACGAACAAAATCTCGAGAATAGCCCGAGATAGGGAGCATATTCTCGGCAACCAAGTCTCAAATAACATCCACGCGGAAGAAGATATCACTTCAACCTCGGATTATTCAGAATCCAAAACTGCGGGATCGGTTTTGAGGGAGGAGGAGGAGGAGGAGGATGAGGATGAGGATGAGGTGGAGGAGGAGGAGGATGAGGATCTCGATCTCGTAGGAAACGCGACACGAGCCACAGTACACGAAACGTCGTCCACTCTCGGTACGGAGGCCGATCAGGATCAATTTACCATCAGGAAAGACAAAAGCAACGTAAAATTCTCTCGCGTGAACGAAAACATCGCGACGACAGCCGTCGCTTTAGTGTCTATCGGCGCGATCATGCTGCTGGTGGGGCCGATCGTGATCATAATGCGGATTTTGGACGAGAGGAGGCAAGCGAGGAAGCTGATGGCGTTGCCATCAAGATCACGAGAAGATCTGCCACCCACGTACGAGCAGGCCGTTCTCATGGACGAGGCGCCAAGGTATTCGACGCTCGCGTTGAACTACGATCGCACGCCGCCGTCCTCGCCAACTTTCTCGTCCACCTACACCTTCTCGAACACTGCGACGTAATTATGTCCTAGGCGGAATCTGGCCGGAGAAATTTTTTTTCTTTGTTGCTTTTTTGTATAATAAAAACCGATTTTTATTATGAGACCATTTTTTAAATTAATAAGCATCCTTATAATATTACAGGGGGAGAAAATAAAGAGAGAGAGAGAGAGAGAGAGAGGAGAATACAATTTTTGCACTTTTTCAAATACAATATTAAAAAATTCGTAATTTTTTCATAACTTTTTATTTTATTAAGAAATATATATAATAAATCCTTATTTAAAGAATGTGTAATGCTGCAAATTTGATATTAAGTATCAATAAAATAAGTGACATTTCGATGATTTAAATTTGATTTAAAGATCCTTACAATATTATGGAAAAAAATTGTATGGTGCTATTTAAAAAATTTAAGATGACTTTGATTTTTATGTAAAAAATTCTTAAAAAATTTTTTTATCGCATGTTGTACATTGTAAAAAATTTTTGTGTAAAATTACAATTATTATAATGAGTAATTTTGAGACTCACTATAGTAGTTGTAAACGTCCTCGCGTTTGAAAATTTGCAATATGCAAATAAAAATAATTTCTTGATTTGTAACTAAGCAGATTGTGGAATTGTGGAAGTACAATTACAATGTGGCTGTGTAGTTATACGAATGATAATATAACAATACATTTCGCATTATGTATTATTATACATTTAATAGCAATACGCGAAAAAATACTGTTATATTACGTATAACATTACTAAAATTTAGATTACAGAAAATATTCAAAATATCCTGTTATTTACGTAATTTTCCATATAAAATACGATATATTTTACACAATAAAAGCAAATTACACTTTTGTATATATAGGGTATTTCATTTTAAGTGATATGGTCGATTATCTCGCGAATCGATGATTTTATTGAAAAATTTTTCGAACGAAAGTTGCGTGGCTTGAAGGGGGACACATGATGGAAATGTAGACTTAACCTTGTCAAAATTAGATCAAGGTCATTAATGTTTTTTTAAATAGAAACCCCTATTTTTTTATTACATATTCTTGTAGCTTATCTCGAGAGCTTTCCAAAACACTATAATAAAGTTAAGTACTTGTTAAGTTATAAGGCAATCACTGATTCGGCCATGAGCTTTCCAAAACACTATAATAAAGTTAAGTACTTGTTAAGTTATAAGGCAATCACTGATCCGGCCAACTAAGGCAAGACCGATCACTGATCCGGCCGATTAACAAATGAGATACATGGATAACGCCGGCGATACTGTAACTTTCAACCTCCATAACTCGAAAAGTACTTAACGAAAAGTAACTTTATTATAGTGTTTTGGAAAACTCTCGAGATAAGCTACAAGAATAATATTATAAAAAATAGGGGTTTCCTTTTAAAAAAACATTAATGACTTTGACCTAATTTTGACAAGGTCACTCAAGATCAAGTCCACATTTCCATCACATGTGTCCCCCTTCAAGCCATGCAACTTTCGTTCGAAAAATTTTTCAATAAAATCATCGATTCGCGAGATAATCGACCATATCACTTAAAATGAAACATCCTATATAATGTATATAATATGAAATATGTCTATACATGTTTATACATCCTTTTTTCTTTTGTAAAATTACTTTTTAGTGTAATAGAAATAATAATAATAAAGTGAAAAAACATTAAAAATAATTAAAAGAATAATTTTCGTGCTATTCGTTTTTGAAAAAAATCAAATTTAGAGAGATGTAAAAAAAATTGTTCATATATAATTATATATAAAATTAGACATAATTGTGAACAATTTTTTTACATTTCTCCAAATTTAATTTTTTTCTACAACGAACAATGTGAAAATTATCTCTTTAATTGTTTTTGATGTTTTTGTATCATTATTATTATTATTTTTATTACACTAAAAAGTAATTTTACAAAAGAAAGAGGGATGAGTATGAATGCACGGACATGTTTCATACATAACTACATATGTTTATGAATATTTATACGTGTTTATGTATGTTAATTTATACATAGGTATTTATACATATTCATGCATGAAAAATATTTTACCGGAATATAATATTGAGAATGCAGAATTATAACATTAATGCTATATCATTTTAGTTGATATTAATTAAGCGGAATGCGTAGACCTTAGTTTGCGACGACGCAAAAGACACAAGAGGAGGATTTTTCAGAAGATTTACAATTTGATGGCCATGTTTAAATAAAGCAATTTCAATTAAAAGTTCTAATAAAAAATTTTAAATAAGGTATTTTAGCAATTAGAAATTTTAAATTTGTTTCAGGAAATCGTGCCGATTGGACTAATTGCCAATTAAATTAATCGGAGTTTGAAGAATGCTCGTGGTAAGAGGTCGCCCTTTAAACTTTAAATAAATACGCACGTGCGCAATGTGCAAATTGGTGTAAATCGTGAGTCGGTAGAAATTGGATTGCCGCGTCGCATCTCGCGCCACCTTGCGTCGATTGAGCCAGTCAATCCATCCAACATGGTGCTGGAAAGTACGATGATATGGTGAGTCTAGCATTTTATAGGAAATCGCAATTTTTTAACGTCGTTATTCATAATATCTCTAATAAATTTGCGAAGTTCGTTCGCTCCACGAACGATATATTTTCGCTGTGACTTAATTTGACACGTTCGACCGATTTGTTTGCAATTTTGAGGTTAGCGTAGTGACAATGACGTTGACACAATCTCAGACAATCAAGCACCTCCGAAATGTTCGCGTTCGTTTATAAATATCGCATATGCTCGAACTAAAGCCCCGTGATCTCAACGTTTTACAGCGTCGATAATAGCGATTATATGAGAAATGGGGATTTCGTACCTACCCGGCTACAAGCGCAGCAAGATGCCGTCAACTTGGTGTGTCACTCCAAGACTCGCTCGAATCCAGAAAACAATGTTGGCCTCATAACTCTCGCTAAGTACGCTGAGTAGTGATTCACATATCTGCGATTATCACAAATGTAAAAGTTTATATATGGTGAGGTAAATATGAATATAAATCTTTGTCTTTCTAGTGTGGAAGTACTGGCGACGCTCACAAGCGATGTCGGCAGAATACTATCCAAACTCCATCAGGTTCAACCAAACGGAAAGTTAGCTCTCATCACAGGCATTAGAATCGCCCATGTAAGTACATATTATTTATGTCTGTATTCATAATCAGACTTTATATTTAAGGCTTTCTTAAATTTATCTTTAGATGCTCTATGAATTATTTCATTGGCTATTGAGCATCTAAAGATAAATTTAAGGAAGCCTTAAGTACAAGGTCTGAATATGGACATTGATACAAGATCTGTTCTTTTTTGAAAAATTTTCTAAGGATCGATTATATATCATGAAACAAGATGAAAATTACAAAAGTGAATACATTCACTAAGTGCTAATGAAATTGTAAAATTTTAAATTTGTTCACTTTTATAATTTTTACCTTATTTCATGATTGACTCTCTCAACTGTTGTACACTGTTCCAATAAGTTGGAATGAAATAAATATAATTTGTTTTATTCCAACTTATTAAATTGAAAATATTCTTTGAAAAACATACCTTTAGTTTTATAACTGAGTCTGTAGTCAAGTATGTACTAAAGACTGTAAAACTTACAGTTAGCATTGAAACATCGACAAGGCAAAAATCACAAAATGCGCATCGTTGCATTTATCGGAAGTCCAATAGATATCGACGAGAAGGAATTGGTCAAGTTAGCGAAACGTCTGAAAAAGGAAAAAGTAAACGTTGATGTCATAAGTTTTGGCGAAGAAAGCATTAACAACGACGTACTAACTGCCTTCGTTAATGCATTGAATGGCAAGGACGGCACCGGAAGTCATCTCGTCACTGTTCCACCGGGTCCGCATTTATCAGACGCCCTGATTTCTTCTCCTATAATTCAAGGTGAAGATGGAATGGGTGCAGCCGGCATGAGCGGTGCCGCGTTTGAATTCGGAGTCGATCCAAATGAAGATCCCGAGCTGGCGTTGGTCAGTATCTGCGTTTTACTGAGAATTTCTTTTCCCTCTAATTTTGTATGTTTCGTATGATTCAGGCTTTGCGTGTTTCTATGGAGGAGCAACGGCAACGTCAAGAAGATGAGGCGCGTCGCGCGCAGGCTAATGAGACTGCCGCGAATAAACAATCGGAAACTATAAAGGAAGCTCCCAATGAAGAAGCTATGTTAAAACGTGCCCTCGCCATGTCCCTTGAAGGTGCAGACGACTCTACTGCCGCTAGTGATAATACTGCTCCAAGCAGAAGCAACGTGCCGGACTTTACTAACATGACGGAAGAAGAACAAATTGCTTTTGCTATGCAAATGTCCATGCAAGATCAGCGTAAGTTTCTAATAGATAACTTAACGTATAATTTATTATACCTATATAATATATTAACTACACTTACATATCATCAATAATTGGGTTTAATAACATTCGTAGTTGTTAACTCTTGACATAAAATGTTGTACAAACGCTAGTAAAATCCGATTTTATAATACTAATTAATACTTGTTAATTAAAACTCGGATTTTTTTAGGCTGCTATTTTAGCATTAAATTATTTGATATTTTGAATAATATACAATATTTCTGGATAAATGTATAACGGTTGTATATAAATTCACAATAATCATTGCCTAATGTCTTATTATTTGCATTCGTTATATAGAAGAATTGGAATCACAAAAAGAAGAAGCGATGGACGTGGAAGAGGATTACGCAGCCGTCATGTCTGATCCTGCTTTTCTGCAATCGGTCCTGGAGAACTTACCAGGTGTGGATCCTCATTCTGAAGCCGTACGCCAAGCCGTTGGATCGTTACAACAAAATAAAGACAAAGAGAAAGAGAAAGAAAAAGAGAAGGAGAAAGACAAAGACAAAAAATAAATGGCTCCTTAGTGCACTGATATTTACACTTGTGGCTAAATTTGACATTTTCCATTATTGTGTATGATATATTGTAGCTATTATATCTTGCTTATGAAATATATTATCAATTTATTGAAAATGCCTAACTTAGTTTTAGTAATATCGCGTACGCGCGCTCGCAATTTAAGT